GGGTGGACAGGATTTGGAGTTGGCCTTGATGTCAGCAGCTGCTGTGGTTTGCCAGGCCAGTCCCAGGTTCTCCTTCCCTGCTCCCTCGTGTCCAGCAGCCCTACACAAACAAAAACAGAACAAAACCACCCCACCCCCACCCCCCTCCAGTTCTCCTTCCTTCCCCCTCCTTCTTCTCCCCTCCTAATTCTCCTCATTATCTTCTTCTTACTCATTTTATATCTCCCTCTTCATTCTATGTTCCTCCTCATCATCACTAATATTATCATCTTCCTCCTGGTAATCACTGCCCTCCTCTTCCATATCTTCCTCTAATTAGCCTCATCTTCCTCTTCCTCCTCCCCCTCTTCAATATTACTGTCATCCTCTTCATCTTCCTCCTCCCCCTCCTCTTTTCATCATTATTACCATCATCCTCCTGGCATCATTGTCCTCTTCCTCCTCTTCTTCCTTGCCCAGCAGATACCCAGCACTCTTGCCCAGGGATGTTCGCAAAGTCTCTGGTCTCCTTGCCCCATGCAGCCCTGGAAGGCCACAGGGGAAGGAAAGAGCCTTTTGGCTGGCACTAGGATCTTAGAGCTACTGGGTCTCCTGCACTCACTTGTGCAGGAGTTCAAGGATTCCCCCTTCCTGGGGAACCCCTAGAGCATTGTAGATGATCCTGAAGATAGGCCTGACCCTGCAGTCTTCCCTCCTGGCCATTTCCTCTCTGCCTCCCAGCTCTTCCTTGCCAGTACTGGCTCTTTCTGGCAGGGGCCACCCTGGGGCAGGCTCCTCTAGGTCCCAAGCGGCCTGAAGGCTGGTGGACAGTCTTAGTTCAGAGCCCACAGAGTAGGCATTTGGGGGTGGCCAAATGAGTGGGCTGATGCCCAGAACAGAGCTGTTGGTTGTACCTTTTTGAGTCTCTGCTTTGTTGGGGTCCCCACCTGAGGCTTGGGGTTCCCATGTGCTGGGTGTAGCAGTTCCCCACTTGAAACTCTGGATCCTCCTCCAGGCCTGGTACTCAGTTGTCACTGAGCTGCATGCAGTTTGGTCTCGGTTGGTAAAGTCCATTCCCGCTGGTGGAGGGTGAGGGGGTTCAGCCTCAGCCTGGCTGCCCTGCCCCTCATTCCCACACAAGTCCCCTACAGTTTGTCTGGGTTGCCCCTCTTCCTTCTTTGAATGTCTCTGCTGCTTTCTAGAAGAAGGGGTGACTGGGTGTCCTGAGCCTATGCTTCCCAGGGCTTGGGGTGGCTCATGGCCCCAGCCCCTATCTCGTTTCCCGGCTCTCCTGCTGCAATCTGTGCTGCAGTATGTGACATCTGCTCTGCTGAGGGTTGGTTTTCAACTTTGACACACACTATCTGGTCATGACCTTCTTCCCTAGTGCCATAGCAGCATGACAATCGCCTGCACTTCAGTGGTGGAGGCATCCCTAGCTGTAAGGTCTGGGTGCTGCTCTCCCTAAAATACCCTGCCTGCTCGGTGACCTGAGGAGCATGAACAATGGTTTCTGCTACTACCTGTCTGCAAGGGGCCCTTCGGCCTCTTCCTGCTTGCCTAGGCGGCTTCTCATTGACCACAGCCATGATGGTCTCCCACTCTTCTTCATCTCGAATGAGCTTCATTAACTCCAGAAAAGCAGGCGCACACTCTCGCTGATCCAAGAGCTCAAGCTTTTTCCGGAGGGTGGAGGTCATGGTGGAGCGGGCCAGGATGTGTTTCAGGCGGATCATGTCTGCGCTGCACCCTGACAAGGGGCTGTGCTGCACAGCTTTATGCAGCAGGGGCTCCACGCGCAGCAAAAAAGCCGAGATTTTCTCTCCTAACATTTGGGAGGTCTGAAGAAACTTAAACTGAGAGATTCTAGAGTCCTCTTTATTCCCAAAGATCTGCTTCAGGGCATCCAGGCACTGCTCCACAGTTATAGACTCATTGTTGGCCCGGAGCACCCGCATGATTGACAGGGCAGGACCGCTTAGGCTCTCCAGCAGACGCCGCCTCTTCTCCACCTCAGACACTTGCCACAACTGCATAATCTCAGTGACCTGCTCCAGCCACACTTCAAAAGTCTCTTCGCCTGGGCTAGGGGGAGTACTTCCAGAAAACACTTTGAGTTTTCGGTACCAGGCGTTTTCTTTCACAGAATGCAAAACTGATGATGTGGCTCCGGCCGACACCTCTGGCTCCATGCCCTCCCCGGAGAGGCGGTTATACCCCAGGATCTGGGCTATGTCCACCATTCTCCGGCCCTCTTCTTTCAGGAAGTAGCTCAGTCTATTGATAAACTCTTCATCTGGGTTGCGGGGTTTTACCACCACTTCCCAGGAGCCTCCCTTCCCCAGTATTTGACTGGGTATGGTAGCATAATTGACGGCGTCGGCCAACTCGATCAAGACTGCCTTAGCATTGTCCTCCCTCAGGAACATCCTGCTCAGCAGCCTGTAGGCGCGCAGAGGGTATAAGCCAACCCTCACAGTCTCGTGAATTTCGGCCTCACTGCACTCCATGGGGACGCCCACGATCAGCAGGGCCTTCTTGGGGTCCAAGTCCATCCCCCTGCACCAATCCTCTAACAGAGTCACCGCCATCGCTCTCCCTTTCAGTGGACTGACCTAATACTAGGGCAGTAATCGGCTGGGAGTCTTACCAGGACTCGAATAACTCTGAGCAGAAGCCGACCAGGAAGGGAGAACGTCTCAGGTTTCCACAGTCTGCTCCTGCCGTCAGTTCCTTTTGGAAAAGTCCAGGGACGCTAATGCGTGTGCGGCCTAGGCCCTGTGGAGCAGGGTCCCGCCGATCGGCAGGCTGTGGGGGAGGCCCCCGCCGATCGGCAGGGGCTGCGATTCCGCACCCTGGGTGCTCAGCCCTCAGCCCGCACTCGAGCTCTGTCCAGTTAGGCGGTTCCTGGCCCAGGAGCAGTGAGTCCTTCCCCACTGGGACGCCTACAGGCCCGAGGCCCTGCGCGCGCCACACCGAGCAGCCGCGGCGAGCGAGCTAAGAGGACAAAGCGCGAAGAGGATGTCGGGAAACTGCCGGGAAAACTGCACACGGCGACGCTGCACACGGCCCACGATGTTGCACACAACCCTCGAGGCTGCACACTGCCCGCGGTGCTGCACAGGCCTGTGACACCGCGACGCTGCGCACGGCCCTTGAGGCTGCTCACGGCCCAATGCTGCACTCGGCCCTCGACGCTGCACACGGCCCCCGAAGCCGCTCACGGCCCAATGCTGCACTCGGCCCTCAACGCTGC